GAAATTATCACTGAGTCCTTTTAATTTTCTTTGACTGAAAGCAAGCCTTGACTTCAGAAGCATCGACTGCTTTGCTCATAATTATAATTTATATTGTAAATCATTTATTCTTTTTTAATCTCTTGCAGTGTTGGGGACTGAACCCATGGTCTCATCTATACCCTCAGCCCTCTACTGTAAATTGAGTGTAGTGTTTCTTTAAAGTGTTGGCAGACTGGGTTCCAGTCAGTATAATTTTATGCTAAAATTTTAACATTTTTAAAAGGAAAAGTAAATGTGACTGCAACATAGGATAATCAATATTGGTTATGAGTAAACAAGACACAGTACAAGTAAGAATCAGGTCTTCAAAATATAAGAATAGATTTAGTACATGGACAAAAGGGCCATAGAACACTTGTAATATTAAAACAAATAAGGCTATCTGGACCTAATATGAATAGACTCCTGAAATTTAAATCTTTCAAGAGAATTCTTTTTTTACTTGTTTCTTTTCACCTTTTCCCAAGCTCTTGGCATTTCAGGTATTTGACACACTTGTTATACTTGTATAGATTTCTATAGCTACAAAACTAAGAAATAAAGCTAATATTCTTAGTTTAAGTTTCAAAACTTTCTTTAAAGCTATAAGAAAAGCCATATGGAGTTAAATTCATATGTATAAATAATCTAAAGTCTTTATATGTCAAGGAATGTATATTTTAATGAATTTCTGGTTAAATTTATGTTATTGCTTGCAACCTACTGTGAAGGTTATGTAGTAGCTTTTTGTTTTTTTTAATCACTAGAAAAATTCTGATGGCTACATATACTATCAAACTATTAAAACACATTTTGTTCCTCCCTTCAAGACATATACAATTACTTTATTTTATTCTCATATAACCTGAAAAGTTTCAGATATATATATAAACATAATTTATTACAGGATTGGATAGGAAAGTGTTCATGAGTATACAGAAATGCTACAGAGCAATTTAAGGCAGCAAAAAAACACTAAGCCAAATTTAAACTGAAGGGGAAAATTACCATCAGTAGACATGAACCAGAATTGGCCTTTGATCAGAATTTTATGTTTATAAAAAGGAATTAAAAGTTATAACACTGAAAAAAGAAAAAAAAAAAAAGCTTGGCTTTTTATTTCTTACCTGAAAGTCTGGAAAAATATTTTCATTAAGGCAAGAACTTATGCCAAATGCTACTATTTAGACTGTCCAGTTCACTAGTTTATCATAATTGCATCAGTTTGAAGTTGTAATTTTCACTGACTGAAGCCTCTCCAAGAGAAATCTCTAATATAGATCTACAATGGATAGAATTCCAAATGGGGCATGTAGGCATTCTCAAGAACAGATAATTTTAGCGAAACACAGAAAGGCTCACACAAATGTATAAAAAATAAATTTGCGCAGTCTTCTGTTCAAACTTATTATCATAACAAATATTACAGTTTAGCCTTGCTCAATGTATGATAGTTAGAACTCATCACTGAAAACTATTTAAATGATGATGATGCAGACTATCAGAAACCAAAACTTTTAACATTTACTAAGATTACTCTAACACAAATTACATCCAGTTTTATATGAAAGATAGAATGATCAAGAGCAGAGTTTTTGGGCCATGAATCAAATTTGCATTAACACCTGGTTATAACAAGTTAACAGCAGCAAGATTGAGACTTAGGTTCTAAGTTTCTCCAATCCTTAGTTTAGCTACCTGCAAATCAAGCAATAAAAAAAAATATCTACTCTATATAGGGTTAAGATTTAGATAATATATACTTATTATAATATATAACTCCAGTTTACAGGTGAAAAGTCATTTTATTGAGATTGATCTTAAGCCTTTTATAAGGGCTTGCCTGGTACAAAGTTAGTGTATAACAAAGGGAAGCTATTATTACTATAGTTTTTTTCATAAGACAATTGATCAGATAAGTTTGATGTGCCCTAAAAGCTCCCTGAGGACTGGGCTTTATTGGTATTGTCAGTGTACCCCAGCCAAAGACGACCAGAACCAATCTGCTGTGTTAAGAGTTGGGTTTAATATTTGTTGCTGTGAAGACGACTTATCATATGGTACCATGGTGTGTGTCAGTCAGTAAGAGGGTTTTACAAAGAAACTTGTATAGAATTTAGCCTTTAGGTGAGTGATTTTGGGGAGGCTCTAAGGAAGTTGAGGTTCACTGTAGAGTGGCTGCTATCAACAGGAGTGCCAATTCTATAAGGAAGGCAGACCAGAATGAAGTAAAATAGTAAAGTAGCACTCATATTAGGTGGAAGAGGGCAATGTTTGGTATTTTGTGGGTGGCATCGAATTATTTTTTGTCTGTGTTTAGACAACATTATAAACTGGGCTTGTTTTGTCTCATTTTACCATGGTCTCAGCATAGCCTTGTTTGATGTTGGGGTCTAGAAGATGATGTCTCATACGTAATAATATAGACAACTGTGAGAGTCGGAACAACTTCTAACAATACTGACACCTCAGTGTCAGATCAGTTCTTGGATATCTAGGGTTTCTTTTGTCTTTCTCAAAGCCTCTAGGAGGGCCATACCCATTGTAAGTGTTTAATAAATGTCCTGAATTAACTGCAAACCATGGTTAAAAGTAAGTTGTACATTGCAAAGAGACAACCTTTAATACATATGCTTACCTTGCTGCCTTTAGTTAAAAAGTTTTTTTGCTCACTATTTCTCTCATAACCAATTCTAGTTTACAGGTGAAAAGTGTAAGTCATTTTATTGAGATTGTATCTTAAGTCAAGAGCCAAAGTAATAAACTTTGGTTGGTTCACTTTTTTTAATGACATGTAATGTTAACTTTTATCAGTAAATTCTTTCTCTCTGATGATGTACTAGGTAGACAAAATTCTTTTCTTCATGCTGTTTATCAATTTCCATGGCCAGAAAAAAACAAAGCAAAAACTAAAACAGAAAAACCACCTTATCACTGCTTTACCAGGAAAGAACTATACCTTCAAAGTATTAGGAATCCACATTATGAATACTTTTGTCCTTCAAATAATGAGTATTTACCAGTAATTTTTAAAAGTTCAATTTAGTGGTCATTTATCACATACTTTTCAGGGGAAAATGTTTTCATCATATATTAGGGTTACTGTTTGTCAGTTTATTCCAAAAGGGACATTAGGCATTTTAAGGTTATAATGTTTAAGTAATTTTGAAAGAGTGGATCAGTTTTAGAAACTGGCTGTATAATGGTTGCACACCAACTGTTTTAGAACAGAAGTATAATACTTTCATATGAAACTTTCCCTTACCCAAATCTTTTAGAATAGTCTATGACAAATCAAGCAAATGACTGTCCCACAATCAGTCTGCCTTAGTTCCTGAAAGCATCATTATAAATTAAAGAGTTAATAACCACGATTACAAGTTATATAGAACTTATGAGAAAATGAGTAAGACTTGGTGTAAAGAGAACAGTCCTGAATTAAAGCAATGCCCTTTCTCCAGAGTCCACAGAAAAGCATGCACACTAGCAGCCACTGCTTGTGTCTCTTAGAGCAGGCTTCTCATTCCTAGTCAAAGGGAGAGCACTTGGCTAGAGGTTCTCATAACTGGAATATCAATAGCAATAGTAAACAGAGCTTAAAAGGCTGAGCTCATCAAGCTTCTCCAGAATCAAAGCAAGTACCAGATGTCAAACTATCTGTTACTAAAGCTTTTAAGTATTTGAGGGAAAGAAAAAGGGAAAATTTTAGTCAAAAGTTCCAGGGCCTAACAAAAAAAAATTTACCAAAAAATTTACTGTTGAATAAGAGGAATAAAGATCTAGAGTTACTAATATCATAAAACATACAGTAAATGTGTCTGTATATTTTAAGAACATATGTGTACATGTGCATGTAATCAATGAGTTGTATAATAAAAATATTTCTAGATAAATGAGAATCAAAGATACTTATTAAATATCTCAAATTATTTTTTGTTAAGTTAGTTAAGATGATGGTAATACAGGGCTTTCAAATTTTATTAATGAATACAAAGAATCTCTAACATTTATAGTCTTTTATAAAAATGAAATAAAATAACTTTTCAGGATGTAAAATACTAATACAAATTATCACAAATTAAATCACATTCTTTATAATATAGAATGCTAAAATTTTACATGAATACGGATCATGTGATAGTTTTATTACTTCACATGCATGCTGTACTTACAAAATTTATTTCAGTATAAATGAAAACAAAACAACAACAACACATCTCATAATCAGTTCTCAATCATTTTAGAGAATGTTATATAAATTATATATGTTAGGTACATTAACCTGAATAACAAAAAAACTAATGATTGATCTACTTTTATATATACCTGGTTGGTTAAGACACTATATTAGTCAGTAATGGTTTAATAATAGCACTTTCTGGACTATCTACAAAAAAGAAGTGATAACAACATTATGGGTGGTTAGAAGAACATCTAGAAATATAAATAAAAACCTTGACAACTGGAATAAATGCCTTTCTGGAGTGTATCCAACTGCTTGCTAAATATTTGTCTTAAGGATATTTCACAAAAATACAAGTGCAGTGGATATGCTACATTAAAACACATGCCAATGTCCTGTGTGGCCCCAGAAGAAAGGCATCTTATTGGGGAACTACTTACTCCTCTCATTGATAAAAAGGAGGTAACACTGGTGATTCACTTTAGAGTATTATGATAATGACAAATTATTAATTATACAACTGAATATTTCTTTATTAAAATGTATATAAAAATCATATACATAGAGAAACAATTTACTTTCTCATTCAGTTTAAACTTACTTTAGAAAGTTATCCTTCCAGTTAAATTAACAACAGAATCTATGCTTTTTGAATATTTAAGTTCATTGTCAATGAACTTCTGAACCACAATTTTGGGTCAATTCACAAAACCACTTTTGAAGAGTATATTATAGTTAATGCTTGATTTCTGCCTATCATTTTTCAAAGACAAAGAATTTGAATGTTAAGTCTTACCTGACCAGGCTCTGTTCCAGTAACAGTCAAGTCTTGGATGGATCTACGTCTTGGTTGCCCGTTACCTTTTAAAAAATAAAAAAAGTAAAATAATGGAAGCTATTCAAATAGGTTAATAAGGGTATAACTGCTATAGCAGGATGTTTCCATCTGTTGCTCCTTGGATCTAAACAAAATGTTTATGGGAAAAAAGAAAAGTGAGTTTATTGTGTGTGAGAGAGAAAAGAGGGAGAGAGGGAGATAGATGGATATGTAAGGAAAGGAAGAGAAACAGCTGCAATGTTTTAACTCAAAAGTTGCTGGCTTACAACAGAATATGTCCTAATACAATAACCATTCCGACCACATGAATAGCTGATGAACTCTCTTCCACCATCTTTTGTCAAGTGTTTAAATAGATGAATGCCGGGGGGCTGGAGCTGATGACGGCATCTATTTCAAGGTCCTTACGTTACAGTTTTTTACAGCAAGACAGCTAGCATGTTGTAAGACACAACACAACTGACTTTAATGGGCAGCAGTACCTTGTTTCAGGGCCTAAATGGATGCTTAGGCTTAAATTTATTATACCGAGTCACACTTAATCCTATTAATGTTTGTCAGAATCCAGTAATTTGTTATTTGTGAATATCAACTCAATTTCCTCCTAGAGATAAATTTACTTCTTATTTCACTCTCAAATATATATTGTTGAAATGTGCTGCAATATATGTGTATATATATATATATCTCCTGCTTTATTTAATAAAAATAAAAAAGAATGCTACAAATTTAAGTCTTTAGCAAAATGGAATGAATTGAGCAATAGTGTCACTCAGCACTTTTATTTGGGAACAGGGTTGTTTATACAGTATCTTCTAAGATGAGAGATCAGCTGTCTAAAAGGAAACACCAAAATACCATGCATAACAGCTGACACAATACTCAAAATTCTTTTGACTCTGACAGCTATATTATGTAATTTTTCAACTAGTGGGCAGTACTCATAACATGCAGTCTAATAGCTGTGGCCCAATTAGCAAAAAATTCATTTTTTAAATTTCATATTTTTATGATTCTGAGTTTAAAAAATCCTCTTAAACTAATCAACATAATTTGACAGCTTAAGCCATGTGACCTCATTATTGTTTTGCATATAAATCAAACGGACCTTACGATGGAATAAGAATGTTTAATGCAATAATATGTGTAGTGAATATAAAAATTCAAATTTATAGCAACTTCTGAAAGTCTAAATCATTTCTTTCTTACATCTTAGACTTCTTTGAATAATATGAATTCAAATTTACTTCAAATTTCAATTTATTCACAGAAGTCCCAACTTTCCAGTACAAATTAAAACGAACTGTGTATTTATTGAACCAGGCATACCAAGATATTTTTATGAATACTTTTAACTATCCCTGTTTCCAAGGACAAGAAGGAGTCCCATCATGATGACTAATAAGCAATTTTAGGCACATTTCATTCAACACACTCATTCTAAAATTAGCAATAGATGAGACAAGCTTGTAAAAGTGTCTGGAATTCTCTTTTCAGATCAGCAACATTTGTGAATCTGAGGAACCATCCTGCACATGTGTCTATAAACTATTACATCACCATCACTGCAATAACAACAAAAATGAACTGGAGTCTATGTGGGGGGTAGGAGGAAAAGGAGTAAAAACTTAAGGAAACAGGGTAAAGAAGAGCAGACAGTAACAAATACCATTAAATGAGAAATCCTCCAAGCTACAGCATGAGTTAAAGCAAGCAATATCAGACGATGCATTTTAATTAGCATAAGCATGGCAGAAACCACCTGGCAAATAGTTCAGACAAAGCAAAAAAGGATTGCAATCAACAAATACTTGTTGCTCCAATATTAAGTTTAAGTCATAATTTAGAAATATGAATACAAAAATCAATCTCATAGTACTGCAAATGAAAATCACTGCATGTGTTTGCAGAACATTTGGATTCTGAATATTTTGCAACTGAATGATTCAGAAATGCACTCGTTGTACATTTTTCTATAGTTTTTTGATATGTGCATACCTGTATTACAAATAGTGCAAACAAAAAAAAAGTAGAAGAAATGAGCAACATGATATAAACAGACACTCGATTAAGGAATCTAAAACCCACATGATGGAGTATTTCATTCTGTGATCAATTCTGAAACTTTCTTTACTTATGATAGAGAAAAACCATATACATATTTTAGAACGACTTTTCCTAAGTAAGAGCAACAGAAGGAATACATCATGAGGCCAACTCATGCTACATACCTTTGCCTACTCCCCATCCTCAAATCAAAAGGGAGGCAGCTATAAACAATAAGCAGTTTATAGGTCAGTTGTTTTCATAGTTATGTTTTTAAGTCAAAATCCACCTCTTCGAAGAAGTTTCTCTTTTAAATATAATTGCATTCCTAAGCAAGTCATCCTAGAATTCTTCTGGAGACTGCCAGCTTAAGTCCTAGGCAGACCACTTCTGTAGTTTTTCTTACTGGTTTAAATATGTTCACAGATTTCCATCCCTTTAACTATACTCATTTTTTTTCAAAGTTCCTGATGACCCTCTTCACTTAAAAAACAATATTTGCGTGAAGACTTCTCTTAACCAAAATTTGGGGAAATTTAAGGTTCTTAAATTAGAATATTATAAATTATAGGATGTTATTCTGATGTGTAAAATGATTAAAAATTTTATATAGCATCATATATTGCAGTATTAAATTCCTGTTTCATGGTAAACTGAATATGTGATTTAAAATGTATTCTTATTTAAGCGACCACAAATTTCATATTCTTAAACTACTTTTAGCAAGTTCTGCCTCTTCCCTTAGACCTTTCAGGTAGGTTTTTCAGTTTTGTTTTTAAATTTTAAATTTTTAAATTCTCCTATCAAATGAGAGCAATTATTACTTCCTGCTGAATTGTGCCTTCTAATAAACCAGATTATGCTAAATTTTTTTAATATTATAAAAAATAATCTTGGTAGACTACAATATAGTGGATGGACTCCTAAATATTCAATGTAAAATTAACTTCTTTATTAGTCATAATACACAAAAATACTTTAAAAGTATGGTGGGAATAAGTGACAGAAATAGGCATAGATATCTTAGTTCCTCTTGGGCCCCAGCATCCCTAATCAAAAGTTTACATCTGCTAATGACACTACCTTTACAATAATTAATGACACTTATCTGTGCTTGCAGATACCTTGTATGAATATGCCAGATTTAGAAAAACTCAATTCTTTGTATTCAACTGTCTCTTCATATTAGTGCTGCATTATTTAGAAGGATATATTTAATAATTTATCCAGTTAAAAAGAATGTTTACAAACATTAATATCCATTATTTCTTCAACCAAATTTAGTTTTAGAAAGGTTATATTCTCATCTTGGTAAAGCAAGCAAAATAATGTCTAGGTGTGCCTCTGAAGAGTATCTGCCTACCTCTAACCGGGACTCTACAAAGTAAGTCAATCGGTTTGCCAATACCTAAAATATTTGAAACTCCCAGAGAAAAGCAAAAGTATAAAAGCATCAGAAACCTAACTACCCATCCACTCTTCTGTTAAATATGTTTCAGTCTTTTCATATTCTACTTATTTCACTTTACTACTTTATCTCCCTCTCTATTAAAAACAAACAAACCAAGAGTATAGCCTAATGTCCTTACCTGAAATTGAAAAGTAAATACTCATTAAATCTGTTTAGGTTAAGAGATCTAAATCCAACTGAAATCATAATCTAAAATTTCTTTTCATTTCTAAGAATGGTACTGTAAACAATAAATAACAATTAAATTCAGGCTTTTCAGGGAACTAGGCAAAATATTTTATATATTTCAACTGTTATGGTTTGGATGTGAGGTATTCTCCAACACAGACTCAAAAATTTTCACATATTCATTCTTATAATTATAATTTCAGTATTTGGAAAGTTTTACTTTTATGAATCATATTTTAGAATTTAATTTTATAATAGCAATCAAGCTTGTATAAATTATGTGTAACAAATTTAATATTAGAGTGGGAGTGAAGATGCATGTGGTGGGAACATGAGGGCTGGGGTCCTAGCTGCTGTGTAACTCTGTGGGGTGGGTGTGGCTTTGGATATATGTTTGTATCTGGCGAGTGGATTCTCTGTGCTTCCTGATCACCATGTACCGCTTTCCTCTGCCATACTCTTCTTCCATGTTGTTCCTGTCTCACCTGGAGCCCTGAGGAATTGAGTCAGCTGTCTATGAATTGAGACCTCTGAAACCATGAGCCCTCAAATAAACTCTTCCTCCTCTACAGTTGTGCTGGTAGGGCCATTTGGTCACAGTAGCGAAAAAGCTGACTAAAACATAAGCTATTATTCTTTTCGCTTCCTTCCATCTTCCCTAATCTTGTATAGTAATAGCTGCATTACTAAACATACACACACACAGCTCTTAATGTTTATCCATAAAACCTAATTGATTGTATTGCTGTTTGTCTAAATGTTTTATTTTCTTACACATTTAAGGTAATCACAACTCAGTAGTACGTATGTTTAAATGCTACCCCTTCTTTCACCAGAGTATTATTCCTTCATAAATATATCTTTCAGCATGGAAGTAAAATGATCACAAATACTTTAATTATAAAGCATTCCTGATTCAATGAAAAATTACTATGTAAGACATGAATTAATGCTTTTCTTTGAACAACAAATAGTGATAATGTTGTAAAATAAGAAACTGCTTTAGTAACTAGTGAAAATATAAAATAATTTTATATAGACAAAATGGCCCCAAATTGTATAATTTATATTTTTGTATCCTAGTTCCTAGTTTCTGGACATGATCAATATGGTTTCTTTCTTTATCTAATAAACACCTATCTATTTAAACACTATGTTCAATATGTGAAGAAGTGAGCCAACTATTACTGATATAATTGATAACAACTAACAGAGACTCAGTCTCTATCCTTACAGAGTTTTCAGTTCAGAGGTAAAAATCAATCACTACAACTACAATATAAGCACTTTTGCTGAAAGCACAATCACAGGCAAAGTACAGACTGCTTTCATGCAAATCACATACATAATACTGTAAGGAATACTGTGCAACTCTTTATCAAAATTCAGGGACAGAGGTGAAAGAAAAGCCTATAGTAGAGGGGTAAAGGATAATTTTGATAAAAATTAACATATATATTAGTCAATACTGAAGGTCAATATGCCATTTAAGCTTGAATTAGAAATGGTAATTCATATTTCTCTATGAAATGACTACAAGATATTAAAGTATTTTACCAATCTGACATCAATTAGGTACAAAAAAAGGTAATTTGTAAGGTCTTCCTGATTAAAGAACCAGAACTAGCCTTTGTTTTACTTTTTTTGGGGGGGGGGGGGCAAGATACTCTGCAGAACAGCAAATCTTCCTTTGTTTTACTTTGTTTCTGTTTTCTGTGTTAAGACAAAATGTATTTGGCAACTCTCTTCTCTCAACTTCATATTAATTTGTTGCCAACAAAAAGAGGCTGGAACAGAAAGACTAGAGGTAGCCTCAAAAGTAGTAACTTGAGGAGGAAAGTAACCCAGGACAACAAAAAATTCAAGTTGTTTCCTTTTCTGCTGGGTGCAAAAAAGGTCTGAGTTGAGTTCACATATTCATTTCCCAAATGAGAGGAAGTTGGCAGAATTCTTGGTTGGTATTCTCCATTCTGTGAAAAGATTTACTTTCCCTTTTATTTTATCCTGGCTATATGAGAGGTGGGGGCGTTGCCCATTTCAGTACAATTGTGTAGAGTTTTGAATCTCTCTTCCTAATTACTGCATGCAAGGTATCAATTTTTATGTCCTAAAAATTGGAGCAAGAAGCATTTAAAAAGTACCAGGGATCATTATTCCGGTTCCATAGCTATTAGACCAACTCAGGTGGTCTATGATACCTGATATGACGATCTCAGGGACATCCAGAATGTTGCCAAATGAAGCGGTTTTACGGTGGCCCCGTTTGGGCTTGGAATAGGCTGCAAAAACACATATACACAGTATACATGCAAACAACCACAAATAGTAACACAGAAAATGATTAACTACAAAAACAGAATAATTCTCATATAATTATGTTAATAACATTTCATGCATGTCGGCATGCAGAACTATCTAACTATTCATCCATGCTTAGAAAAGGCATGATTACAGAGCAAACAACTAACAATACAAGAAGTTTCACACACTGGTTTTAATTAGCAAGGGGAAAAAAAAGAGACACAGACAAAGCTGCAGGGTAATGAGGAAACTAAATTTCAAATGTGTTCACAGAAATAATCTATCTATGTGAAACCAATGATATGCGATGAGGGCAGGGGAGGGAAGGTAGGAAGGAAAAAGGAGTTAATAAGAAATAAGCTACCATATTTGTTTTAATTACACAAACACAGAAATATAGTTTCAAATTAGGTGTTTTCCTGATGTGCACTATAAAGTAAAATTCAGTAATTAAACAATAAATATAGAATCAAAGTATGCAATGTATATGCTTTCCTAATTATAAATACTTACACATATATCTAATAAACTGAAACTACGATTTCCAAAGTTTAGGATATATTCCTGCTAAACATGAAGGTTGTAAGAAGTTGTAGTATAAACCTTCAAACTAAGACAATTCACTAAAAATTTAAAATTATATAAAATTCAAAGGATGTACAATAGTATTTGTCCTACATTTAGGCAGGGTAGGATAGGGTATTTTAAAGTACATGGTTATCCTTAACCTAGCGAAATATCATTTCTATGAAGAATAATTATATTCTAATTCTTGACCAGAAAAATAACACCAGCATGAAACTATTATGACAACACTACTTTCTGTTTTAGGGTATAATCAATCCTGGGTGAAATATCTTGACAATCCCTGAACTGAAAAAGGTCCCCCCACCCAAAATGTGGGGGTATGTCTCTGTGGGCAGAGTTCATCAAGCCCATTCCACAATAATACTTTTGACTTATGGCTTGTCAGTGGTTGGTGACCTAAACGCAGCTTGATTGTTTCTACAAAGACTATTAGGTTCTCTGCCAATCTCTCTTTTTCCTTCTTTCTTGGCAACAGAGCTCTGACTTTAATTAAGATAGCAATATTCCCAGATAAATGACCCCAGATCCCTTCTTCACTAGAAGCTATGTGTGAGCATCGGACCACTATGTTACTCTGGCCAATGACATCTTTGTGAAAATTGTTGCAGAAAGCTCCTTTAAAAAGGTTGGCTGCCCTTTCATCCTTCCCTGATTCTTCCTTCCTGCTGTCTGGAATGTAGAAGTGATGACTGAAATTATAATAACCATTTTGGACCATAAGGTAACCTTGAGAACAGAAGCTATATAACAGGCTAATAAAGGAGAGAGAAAGGAAGACCAGCTTCCTGATAATCACGGAGACTACCTCTAAACTTGTTTATGTATGAAAAACAAGGCTTATGTATTATGGGCACTATTATTTTGGATACTCTGTTGTGTATCTAATGGAGTCTAGTACTAACTGAATCAGTTATCATGATGAATTGAAGACAAGTATATAGTAAGATGGTTCATCTGGACTACTTCTTTCTGAAAAGAGCTTTACATACAATGAGAATATTCTATTCAGAAAAAAAAAAATGGAAAGACCTAAAAAAATAAAACCTAGTTAGCTAAGTTAAAAAATATATATGTAAAAATACATGGAAAACACACAGTTATATATATTCTAAGTTAAAAGACTAGAGGTAACTACACAAAAATATAGTGTTTATTTCTTAATAGGATAATTACATAGGTTTTTGTTTACATTTTCACATTCTCCACAAAAAAATGTGTTTAGTTTTTGTAATCAGCTCCCCTCTACCATGGGAAAAATCAGGAGAAAAAAAAAAAAAAAAAAACCAAAAAATCCCAAATTAAATAAGTATTAGTAAAATGAAACCTGGTTAGAAAAGAAAGTTGTCAGTTTACTTGGGTAATAAAATACATAATTGGTTTGGGCTGACTAGTTCTTCTGTGGTTAATAATTTTAATAACTGACAAAATGGAATTTAAATGCTAGTTTTTCAAGATCTAATACAATTATTACTCTCTTTTTATTTTATGATTAAATGAATTAACCACAACCAACTTAGCTATTTTTCCCACTAGAAGGAAGGAGAAGCACATAGTAAAGTTGAATCATAGCCAGATCCGGAATATACTTTTTAACTAACTTCAAAACAAATATTTGCTATTATCTAAGTTCAACACAAATATCTAGTAAAATCACTCAAAATCCCTATAAACATTCTGGAGTTGGCTATATTTCAATTTATCACTTAAGACTTTTAGCTCATGTTTGAACAGAAAGAATTATCTTTAATAAAATTTGTAATTGGGAAGACAGATTTTATAATCCAAAAAACTTATAAGTCATACTTTCCTCATTTGGAATTTGATATAAATATATAAGTTATTGCTAAAAGCTTAGGGAAAAAAACCAAACAAACTCTGACAACCCCACTAAAACAACTGCAATTACTATGCCAAAAAAGATTATATACATTTCATTCCTCTTTGGACTTGTGGTTCCTTTTTACCTGTGGTGGCAGCGATCCTGGCTTCTATTTCAGACATGTCAGCACTCATCCTCTTGCCCTCGGAGGTTGGGGGCAAACTCTCCACACTGCTCCCACGGGAGGCTCCCAGGCTTAAACGTCCAGATTCACTCTGTTAAAATTATAGGTCATTTTGAATTACTTAAATTGTTTAGATTTAGAAATCTTGGGCAGCATAGAAGGAGGAAGATTGCCAAGTGGGATTCTTAAGGATCCTCTACTTTTCTGAAGGAGGGAAATTTGAAGAAACAGGGAGCAACAGAAGAAGGAAAAGCAAGCTGAGATACTATCTTTATGAAAGGGCAGTCACTAGAGTTAGGAGTTAAATGCCCATTATTAGTTAAATTAAATGCTGCAAACAAGAACAAAAATTGCTCCTTAAAATAGTTTTAAGTCAACAATGTAATAAACATGAACAGCATGAAGACACATTTAGGACAACTCCTTTAAGTGGATGGTGCAGCCTAAATCTGTCCACTATACATTTTTAAGCACCAATCAATAAAGTGAGGGGGTCATCACAGGGATGGAGTTGTTGACTTGGCAGAGACAGCAGTCATCAAAGGAAAACAACTTGTTTGGTAGTAAATGGCAGGAGAAACTCATTATATCTCTCTTCTTAAGCTCATTTGTCTGCTTCAAGAAGAAGAGTCATGCTAGGCATGGTGGCACACATCTGTAATCCCAGCAGTTGGGGAGGCTGAGGCAGGAAGATTGTGAGTTCAAAGCCAGTCTCAGCAAAAGTAAGGTGCTAAGCAACTCAGTGAGACCCTGTCTCTAAATAAAATACAAAACAGGGCTGGGGATGTGGCTCAGTGGCTGAGTGTCCTGAATTCAATCCCTGCTACCCAAACCCCCTCCAATAAAAGAAGAATCTGTATTTATATAATAGAAGATGACAAATAATTAATTTCAGTTAGTTTAATGTTATGACAACTGGCAAGGTTACTATAAGTTTACTTTTAATAATGTAACAAACCTGTTGCTTTGCTTGATTTTTCAATAATTTTGATTCTAAGCGTTTAATAGTATCATTTGTAGTAGGAACTTGCTCCATATTAGTGTCACTTTTATTACTAGTATTTGTAGAAGCAATGTCCATGAATGAGCCTAGGAAAACAGAAACATTATGACCACAGGTTGAGAATACCACAAGTGCTTCATTCAATAGCATGCAACCAAAGTACTTTTCTCGAGTGGCAAGACATGAATAGAAATAACACTTAAGGATAGTACAGAAAAGTGAGTCAAAATGCCTAATAATCTAGTAGTCAATAAGTTAAGGTTTACACTCTAAGTTAGTATAACTAAGGGCCATTAACCGAGATGGAAAAAACAAGAAGATGAGTAAGTTTAAATGAAGTAACAGGAACTCAGTTTCGAAAATGTTAAGTTTGAATTCTTATTAGATATCAAGCAAGTAGCTGGATATATGAATATAAATTTCAAGTATGGAATAAAGAAAAACATCAGTAAGTTGATGATATATAAAGCCCTGGTATTAGAACAGGTTATCAAGGAAATGGACATAACTAAATTGATTAGAGGCCTTGATATGATGACATTTGTAGGTTGAGGAGATAGGAATAAAAAGCAAAGAAAACAGAACAAAATGGCCAGAGACCTAAAATGAAACTCAGGCTAATGTAATGTCTTGGAGAAAATAAATGAAGAAAGTGATGGTAAGAAGAAGATGGTGCATGCCTGTAATCCTATCAACTCAGAAGGATGAGGCAGGCGGATCAAGAGTTCAAAGCCAGCCTCAGCAATTTAGCAAGGCCCTAAGCAACTCAGTAAGACCCTGTGTCTAAATAAAATATAAAAAGGGCTGGGGATGTGGCTCAGTGGTTAAGCATACCTGGGTTCAAACCCTAGTACCAAAAAAAAAAAAAAAAGAAAAGAAAAAGAGGAAAAAGGAGATAATAATAAAGTATATCAAATGAAAAATCACTCATTAAATCATTAAATTTAGTAATAGAAATAACTGGTCACCTTAACAAGAACAGTTCTGAAATAGTGGTATAATTGAAATCTGATTGGCATTGCTGTTAGATAAAATGGGATGAAAAAAGCTAGGAATTTCAAATATAGACCATATTTACTCTGGAAATGATCCTAGTAGAAAGGCTAAAATTGATAATACAACAGAGAGAATTTTGGGGAAGGGCAGATAGGATATAGGGCTTGAGCAGAAAGGTTTGCCTTTGGCTAGAAACTTGGATAGTTCAGCCACAGTAATGGGAGAAAACACAGAATACATATAGGTACAGATGCAGGTAAGTAGGTGAATCCTGGGGGAGCCTGTATAAGCTTTCTTCTGATTATTCCAGTTTCCTCAAAGAAATAGCAAACAAGGTTAGCTGAGAGTGAGATGTGGAGAGGAAGTGTTTGAAGTTTGAGAAAAGAGGTCAAAGTATGGACTAATAATAGTATAATTGTCCAGCAGTGCTACATATGCACTTGAGGACTATAAATATGTGCTATCTCCAGTCACCTTCAGCTGCACTGACATAGGCAAGGAGTAGCTAAGTGTCATATTTAATCAGGTTGATTTCACCACCCAAGAGTAAATTTCCAAGGGGGTATCCGAGTTTACTAGAATTAAGTGGAGGTATGAAGGAAAAAAAGAACCTAAGAGGTCTGAAGGTCAGTGAAAAGGTGGGAGGATCAAAGGACTCAAGGTCACAATATGGAAAGGAGGAGAGGGTTTGGGAGTAAAGGGAGAAGGTAATGATAGAATTCTAGAGAAGTTCACTTTAAAATTCAGAGCAATAAAATTAGACTTTGAGAATAATTAGCCAATCAGTAAAGAAAATTAAAATAAATAAAACTATTCTTGAGCATGGGAAAAGAACATTAAAAATATTTCAGTAAAAATGAAATTTAAGAGTAGGGTAAACATGTGTACATGTATATACTTACCTTGTAGATGTAATATGGTAACAAAAATGCAAAATATTTTGAGAAGTATAATATTTCTAAGTTAGAATGCTATTTCTGTATATATATATATATATATATATAT